CGCGCTCGTGCGTCGCGCCGGATGAGGCGGGGCTTGGGGGCTGGCTCCCGCGGCGGCGCTTCTGGGTGGGGAGGGTGCTATGGCGCTTCCGTGGTCACAGCGCGTTGAGCTCGCGCTCTTCGCTGCCGCCTTCCTGTGCGGAGCCTTGGCTGCCGCGGCGCTGACTCAAACCCAGGTGTGGCTGCGGGGCGAAGTCGGCCGTCGGGTCGGGTAGGCGGGGGACAGGTCGATTCTAATACGGAGACACCGCTGCTGTAAGGGCCGGTCGGGTCTCCTCGCGCTGCACCTCGCAGCCGGTGGGTGGGGTGAGGCCGGTCGGCGGCGGAGATGCATCGGGGCTCATCGCACCCTGTGGCTCCGTCGGCCCTCATACTTCGAAGTCATTCCTTCGGCAGAGGAACTAGTCCTAGAGAGCATCTAACAGCATAGGTGGCTCCCGCTGCCTAACCTTACCCTGTTTCTGAAACAAGTTGACCCAGGCCCCCTTTAAATCAGACACTACTGTGCTGAGCTACACCAAGAAATAGAGCACAGTGTAGTGGAGGTGGTCAAAGTACCAAATGGCTACAACACAACGTGTTAAATGACAAGAGTGATGTAGCAAAAGACAATAATTTACGTCGAGTGTTTACTCTAGCCAGACAATCGTGTTAATAAACAGGCTCATTTAATTCCTGTAAATAGGCACTATTATGCCTATCTTACAGATTAGAAAACATGGAGATAACTGGAGGTTACACGAGTTCTGGTTTTACTCTAGGATTTCTGCACGAGGGGAGACCAGAACTTGTGAGGCACCTGAAGCTCATTGTATTTTATAACCACCGCCTATTTCCTGATCCTTCTGGTCACCGCAGGTTTGATTTCCCCAGCAGACCCATTAATCTACTGGCCCAGAAACAGGAACCGACACTGCACAAATAACTTCCTAGGGTGGCCCTGATCTACATTATCCCTGACACCTGCCATGCATCCAGAGGCACTAGCTTGAAATCTAGCACTCAGTAGCTTCTTTCCACAGGGCTCCTTCAGTGGCAGCTGTCCCCTGTATGGTGTGGCCGCCCTGAATGGCTCCTCCCTGGTTTTGTCCCGACCCTCGGCCCCATCCCTCTGCTACTTTGTGGCTGGGGCCTCTGGCCTGCTGGCCCTCTACTGTCTCCTGGTCCTGCTGTTCTGGGTCTACACCAGCTGCATCGAGGACTCCCACAGGTGACTGCCCACTCCGAGGGCCAGCGGCTGAGGTGGGAGGAGTCCCACCTCAACCACAAGGCTTACTCTCTCCCTCTTCATAGAGGCCCGAAAGGGCTCCGCTTGGCGCTGGCCATCTCAGCTATAGCCATCTTCCTGGTCTTAGTGTCTGCTTGTATCCTTCGATTTGGCACCAGTTCCCTCTGCAAATCCATCATCCCCCTGAACATACTAGGTAATGGGAGAGGGAGGGCAGCCTGGCTGGGGGTGATTACCTTCCCTCTGCAGACGGGATCCTATATTCCCCTTTTTATATCCCCATCAGTTCTGTCTCAAAGGGCACCTGAGCGCAAGGGTGTTTCGGGTATATCCCCCATTTCTCACAACTGTCTCTTTGACCTCACAGCTGCTCTGATGCCCAGAAAACTCCATGGATACCCCCTGGAACCACTCTGCAGTTTTACTCCAACCTACACAATGCTGAAGTGAGGTCCTGGGATGTAAAAGACTGGGTGGAGATTGAGGGATACACAGATTCATATGATGAATCATATAATACGATCTGTAGTTGTAAAGGTGCTCACCAGTGTACTCTCAGCTTGGCCCACCAGCAAGAGGCTGAGAGGTGCTGAAGGGCTTGACAGCCCAACAGTGAATAGCTAAGAGTGGTATGTGGGTGGAACGGGATTCGAGATGGCCCCACTCCTGACACTTCTGTTCCTGTCTCCCACAGACCTCTTCTTGGGTGAATCTGGTATTGTGGTGTGTGGTCTTGGTGCTCCAGGTCCTGCAGTGGAAGTCTGAAGCCACCCCATACCGGCCTCTGGAGAGGAGTTCTGAGACAGATGCTCTTGTTGGGCCACGCCTTTCCCATTCCTGAAGAATAACCAAAGAGTACTTCCTGCCGCCAAAGAATCCATGCCTAAGTGCCTGCAATCCTATTGCCCCTACATAGCCTTGTGTATTCTGGGAGTCTGTTTTTCCTCCAGGAGGGAAACATGACGAGAGGCCACCTCTTCCTCTCTTCCTATGGCTGTTTTTTACCAAGGTATTATATTACTTTCTTCCTTCACCTCAGTACTGAGTTCTTGGTGTTACAGCACTGTGGGTAGGTGGATGGCAGTAATGGGTGAAGGCTAAAGAGGCATGATCAAAACTTAGAGATACTGGCAGGTAGCTGCCCTGGGGATGACTGCTCTTTTATTTGCTGTTAATGAATTTTCTGGCCCCTTGTATGACCCTAGTTGTCACCCCATCCCTAAGGTTCAGTTTTTCTTCCCCTCTGGGAGGGTGAGTGATCTGAGGTTGTTTCTTGTTTCTTCACAAGCTACGGTAGGCACCTACAGTGTTGTCAAAGAGTCTGGTATTGGGAAAATGTCCAGCTTTGTCCAAAAGAAAGTAGAAGCGCCGGCCTTTGACCTTCAGAGGCAGCATGGCAGGGACTTCACCCCGGTGGGCCATGCAGGACACTTGGTTCAAGGGAACGGTGAAATGGGCACCCAGGCCAAAGGGGGCATGAGTGGTGAGGGTCACTTGCTTCCCTCCGGCCCTCAGGATCACTGAGCGCACAGAGCGGAGGGAGAAGAGAACACCAGCACCAAGTACCAGGGTACCTGCAGGAAGAGCAAAGATTGGGAACAGGGGCTTTCACTGGAGAGCTAAGCAGCAACCCTTCCAGTGCTCCCTGAACAAAATAAATAATTGTGATAATATTTACTTAGCTCCTCTTATACTCCAGTCGTGTATTAGTCGCTCTCTCAACAGCCTTAAAAGATGTCCATCCTCATTTTAAAACACGAGAAAACGGGCCCAGAGCATAAGCACTAACTTGCTCAAGGTCAGAGAGAGGCAAACCTCAGCCTGAGCCTGTCCGAGTGCTTGGTACGCGGAAACTTACAACTCCAGTATACTGCAACTGCCCACCCCTCCTCATCCTGGAGAGTCGGGAGCCCGTTACTCTTCTTGTCTGAGCAGGAAGGACTGTGCCCACCCACCGTGTCCCCGCGCCGGGAAGGCAGCCCACACCTTACCGATGGCGCCGCAGCCGACGGCCAGGCCGTACCGCCAGAGCGCAGAGCGCAGGTCCAGGCGGCTGCGATCTGGAGGCTCGGTGTCCGGAGGCCGAGCCGGGACCGGGGGGCGGGTCAAGGCTGCAGTGGCCAGGGAGGCCCAGAAGACGCCCTGGCCAGTGCAGAACAGCCCGAGGACAGTGAAGAAGCGGCCCCGTTCGTGCTCAAAGAGCAGCACGTCCCGTGGTGGGGTCACGTCATGCAGGGGCCGAAGCACCGGCAGGGACTTCAGCACTAGGAATAGCCGCGCGGACCCCCGCGGCCCGTGTGCAGCCATGACCCTGCGCGCCGCATCCGGGGCGGGACTTCCTGCCATCGCCCCGCCCCTCGGGTTCCGTCTGTCAACCCCGGGCCCACCCCTGGGACTCTGTCCCCGCCCTTGCTGGCGGAAGGGGCAAGGCTAAAGCAATCCAGCACACTTGACACAAAATACAACATCACTCTTTATCTTAAAAAGTAGGGAGGATCTTGGGGTTAAGTACACAAAGCACCTAAGTCCTTCGGGTAGTTTAGTGTCAGTTCTACAAAGTAAGCTTTGGCTTCCTGGCACCAGAGAGGCTCAATCTCCTGGAAGTCTTCCAGAAGGCGGGTGAGGAGAGGGATCCAGCAGCCCTCCCTCTCCTCGGCTCGGTCACAGTCATAGGGTGGCCTCGGGCCGGAGAGGAGACAACCATGACAAGGAGACATCAATATATTCACGGGCTATTTACAGAAGTCTTTTTCTGGGGCAAGACTATGGATCACTTCATGAACGCCACTTCTGGGATCTCGCCCTTGGCCTTAGAGAAAAATAAAAGGTCAGTAGAGTCAGGTGGCCCAAGCCTATGCCCCCAGCTTACTGGCCCCTCTTGAAGGCCTGGAGATCCCCTTTTCCCATAGTCCCAAACCTTACCTTGAGATGAGTAAAGGCCTGGGCAGATCTGGTGTAATCCCAGTCGTTGTCCTGAAGGCACCTGGATTAGGGCAAGAACAGGCACCCCCATTAGAACCAAAATGCAGTCACCCTGATCACTAAGTGCCACTTTAAAATCCAATCTATGGAAACACTTGCCTGAGACTGCCAACAATTATATACATTCTTGCACTATTTATACAAATGAAAAATTTGTAAAAATCTTAATGTTCATAAATGGTCTTTCAAATACAAACAAATATTAAATTGCTATCTATTTCTATTAAGTAGCTAATAGAAACAAGGCTAAGGTAATTTTTATACAAATAGAAAAAGATGTAAGATGTTT